TCCAGGACCAGTCCAAGAGCCAATGTACCCTTGTCTTTTTCTTAAAACATCAGTGTTTTTAATACTGTTACATAGTTATACCTGAACTGATCATTATACTATACTCAGTACTTTAAAAGAATGACCAAGAGTAGTAAAATTTCATGAAGCCAATTTTTATGATGCCTAAAACCTCTGGCTGAATAGACAAACTACCCCCCCCCTTTTTTTTTTTTTTTTAGAGTGGACGTGTTCATTATTTTTGTCATTGTTTTACTGAGAGAATTACAGACTCACAGGCAGTTTTAAGAAAAGAACATAGTCCTTGTGCCATTTGCCCAGTCTCCTCCAATGGTAACATCTGCAAAACTATAGTATGATAGCACAAACTAGAATGGTGACATTAATAAAACCTAGTCTTATTCTGATGTCTCCAGTTATACTTGTACTCAGTGTTAATCAGGAAGTAAAGATCAGAGAGGAGAGAGCAACAATGGGGATGGGAAGATGAAATACGGAAAAAAGACTTCCTGTTGCTTAGGTTAAGCTTTCTGGTAGAAAATATTAAAAAGTAGGGCAATTGTCAGTGCTAAATTTCCAATCGGCTCCCTGGCTGAAAGGGGTTGATGGAACTCGGAAAGAAAGCTGGGTCAGTTTTGCTCTTGTATTTCTTTCTTTTTTTTTCTTCAAAGAAGAATCATTACAGCTCTTGCTGTCACTCTGTGTAAACTGATCCTTTTTGTGATTTGAACTTACAAAAATTCCTTATCTCTAGATTTTTAATGGATGATTCATTTGTTGTTGTTTACCCTTATATATGGCTATAACTGATTAAAAAGCCTAATGGTTACAAATCTGAGAGCATCATATTATATTTCCTAATTATGTTTCTTCCTTGTCCAAAAAGATGCATTAATCTTTATTTAAAATGTGTTTTATCTTTGCTGATCTTTTGAGTGTGTTTAAATTCTATCTTCTTGGCTAATTCCTCCATCATTTTCACAAATTATTTTCCCCTAAGAAAACCAAATGAGAAAATTATGTTTAAAGCAAAATATATAATCCTTTCAGCTGACAAGATAGGTTAAAAACCGGATGGAGGTATCCTACATCTTCTCGGAACCTTCTCCTAAAAGAACCTTGCCTGAACTCTGTCCTTTGAGAAAGCAAGGGAAAACAAATGCATTTGAATGACAACTTTTATTGGGATTCTAACCAATAGACTAGGTAACAATTAATTCAGTTTTTTTTTTAATCATTCCATTCATGGAATGAAGCTTATAAATCCTGCTCGGCCAAGCATACTGATTTACATCCTTTCAATTTAACTAACCCTTTCTTCACACACACACACACACACACACACACACACACACTCTCTCTCTCTCTCTCCCCCACATTAAAACTTTTGATCTTCCCTTAAGTGAAGACATGCTAATTTTAAAGTTCATAAATTCCCAAGGAAAGCAATTTCTATTCACGAAAGTAAATATTTAAAGAATATTTTAATGTCAAACATCTAACAGTAAGCAATAACCTAAACACTGTCATATTCAGTGGTCTCTATAAGATTTTCCTACCTTTTCAATTACTTCCAGTGACACTGCCTTGTAACTAAAATTATTCTTAGAGCTACTATGTATTCAAATACATTCAAGGTATGTTTTTAAACATTCTGCAAATTGTGTTCAGTTTCATCACAAATATTTAGTTACTTTGCAAATATATGGAACTTTTTGTTGCTTCTGTTTTCTCCATCAATAAGTTGATATAAAAATTCTTAAAGGAGAGACTGTTTCAGCTAATTTCTTTCTACTGTCCCTTGGTACTTACTGAATTTAACTGCTTCCCACCCCCCCCAAAAAAATCTAACAATGACAGGAATAAAAATACTAAGGAGAGCAGTATCTGAGTATTAAATGGTAGGTGGCAATGGGAAAGTGGGATAGAAAACAACTGGGTTCAAGTCATGTTAAAATCTACTGTCTAGATGTCTCTTCAGAATGAAATTATGGGACAGTCAATAATTGACCTTCCACCCTACATGTTCCTACCCCGTTTGCCATGATCTCCTTGTCTTTTCTCAGTTTCTTCCCTTCTTTCATGTAAATACATTTTCAAACGGACATTTCATCTCTAAATATATAAATACCTGGTGACCATCACTTAAAGGCCCCGTGTCTTTTCCGTATATAATAAGAAATGGAGGATTACCAACCACTGGAGTTACACATGCAGAGCAGATTCGACAGAAGATAGAAACGCAGAGCAGATTCGACAGAAGATAGAAACGCAGAGCAGATTCGATAGAGGACAGAAACGCAGAGCAGATTCGATAGAGGGTAGGATAGAAACGCAGAGCAGATTCGATAGAGGACAGGAACGCAGAGCAGATTCGATAGAGGGTAGGATAGAAACGCAGAGCAGATTCGATAGAGGACAGGAACGCAGAGCAGATTCGATAGAGGGTAGGACAGGAACGCAGAG